CAAACGCTGTCGTTTCCTTTTTTTATTTTTGTTATTCGGTATTCGGTATACCGATTTACCGTCGGTATATGACTGGTCGGTATTCGGTATACCGTTTGGCCAAGAAGTGCAGCCGAATACCGATACCGACGGTATTCGGTATACCGAATACCGATTATAATCGGTTCGATACCCGGTATACCGAATACCGGTTTACCGAATACCAGCCCTAGAACTTATGCTTACCGAACCATTGATTACAAGTGACGGTAACCCGACCCGATATACTGGAGATCCCAAGAAACGGGTTCAATGGGTAATAACAAATCAGGAGTAATATTGAGAAAGTTCATACACAGTGAAGCATGAATCCCAAAGCCTTGGAGGTTGAGTTAATAGTAACTCTTAATGAGATCTATACTCCATGTGGAGTGAAGTACATTACTTTAGGGGTACTTCAGATAGACTACCTATGTGAATGTGGGAGTGGGGCCGCTTCCTATGAAACTTTGGAGGCACAAAGTTGCTAGAGCGTTCACTAAACCGGGATAACGTGTAAGGCCATAAAACGCACGGGCTATGAGAGAGTAACACTCAATGAAAAGATCTGGTATGCTACACTGTCTGAGATAGGGTTCAAGACTACGAGTTGCCCTTATGAAATCGGAAGTGTAACCACTACACTAAGGTTCAAATCTTCGCGATACCTTAGTTTATGCCCGATCTTATACGACTGTTGATGCTCATTGGAAGTTTTTAAAAATATTCAAGTGGGGGATTGTTGAGAAATGCGAATAGCTTGTAAAAAAACTAAAGGAAAGTCCTTGAAAATGTAAGTGAAGTTAATTCAGATTAATTCGCTGTATTGAAGGAAACGTTTCTTCAATTAGAATTAATTGACCGAATTAACGGAAAGTTCCAATCAATTGGATTGATTTTCCATATTGAAGGAATTTTTCATGATCAGATCAATTGCCCATACTAACGGAAATTTTCAATCAATCAGATTGATTTATGGTAATGGAGGAAAGTTTTATCAATCGGGTTAATTGTCTGCATTAAAAGAAGGTCTAATAAGGAGTTACTACTCTTGATTTCCTTCTTTAAAAGATTCTCAAATTCTCCACCAAGAGGGGAAGTCTGAAGGTCTCATCCTATATAAATAGATTATAGATGAGTTGCCTAACCCTAAAAAAATAGAGAGAAAAACACGAAGAGTGTGAGACTCAAAGAGCTCCGGTTTCGCATAAGCCGAGGGAAAACAAAGAGTGGTTGTTTTATCCTGGAGACGACCGGTTGATAGTCTGCCGTGCACATTACAAGGCAGTATCGTGAATGTCTTAAAGAGAGCGACCTAGTCCGCGAGTTTCAATTGTTCTGTTTCTAACATCAAGTCATTTCATGTGTATGTTGTTGGTAACAACAAAGTTTTAACGTCAAAAGGGGAAAATTGGTCCAGAATCTCGCTAACAAGATAGGAGGAATCAAAGAATAAAAGGAAGGAGCAATCATAGGGGCTTAGCTCTGTAAGTGAGGAATTATTGGGAGCTATATAGGCAATAGGGGTGGGCATCCGGTTCGGTTTTAACTCTCCGAAACCGAACCGACCGAAACCGAATTTTCCACTGTTCGGATCGAAATTCGGATGGAAAAGGCTCTTAATTCGGAATACAGGGTCTGTCAACCGAACCCGAAAATCCGAGTTCCGAACCGAAAAACCGAAAATTGCAACACATCCAAATTAATCCCACCACTACCTTGGCCCAACGAAAGAATAAAGCTACTGGGTGGGCCAAGCCCAAACCCTTTGCAGCTGCTGTCTTCCAATAGCCCACCCCGAAACCCATACCTCTCAATTTTCAACAGAAAAACCCAATCAAACATAACCCTAAAGCAACCTAATCCCTAATTCCCTATCCCTCCCCACCTCTTGTCCGCCGCTCTCTCTCTCTGTCCCTCACGAGTCACGATTTAGATCCACCACGATTTAGATCCAAGGCACATCTGGGCGCTCCTCAGGGCTCAGCGGGGAAACAGACTGGGGTGGGCATCTCGGCGGCGGGGGGATAGGCAAGGAACGAAGGCGGGATCTGCATGAGCGACGACGGGATCGGGGGCGACATGCTCGGCCTAACGAGCCCCTGCATGCTTCCCCTGCCTTGTCTTTCGCCATTTCTTCCTCTTCTCAAAATGGGTGAGCGGCGGACTTGGCGAGCCGGACTTGGAGAGAAGGTGAACTCGGCAGCGGAGGGAGCTCAGTGCGGCATCGATGGCGGAGGGCTCGACCTAGCTCTGAGCGACGAACTGCTCGCAGAGAGCGGACCGGCGGTGTGTTCTCCCCTGCAGAGAGAGAGATGGAGAAGTAGAAAATTGGAGAGAGAGACGGAGAGAGAGTAAATGAGAGAACTGGGAGAGAGAGAGAGAGAGTGGAAGGGGAAAATGAGAGAGATGGAGAGATGGGGTGGGTGGGACTTGGGTTGGGAAATGGGAGAGAGGAAGTTGCGTACTGAAAAAGCGGAAGGCAAAGGAAGAAAAAAAGAAGGCGGGGGAAGGGTGTGGGAACTTTCGGGTTTGTCGGGATCCCGAACCGAACCGGAATATAATTCGGTTTGGTCAAACCGAACCGAATTATATTTCGGTTCGGGATCAGTTTCATGTGTAGAGAGTTCGGGGGACCCGGTATACTCAATTTCGGTTCGGTTTCGACCGAACCGATGCCCACCCCTAATAGGCAACAGCGTTCCTGGCGCAAGTAGCAGCATGGCAGAAACGAAAGTAGATTGTTTAACCACTGAAGAGACCATGGAGGATGATTGAAGAATACACATGACTTATAAAAACTTGGTTCAACATAGAATCACTATCAAAGTTGGGAGGTAATTAAATGGATCAATAGATGCATATAGAGAACACACCCACAGACAATCAATTCCCACGGCTTCAGATATTAACATTAGATTTTTCGATAAAACAGCACAATCCATATCGTTGCGGCTGGAGATTAGAACAGACGTTTTTACCCATGTTCTTAATGAAATAAAAATGAAAGCAGTCTTAGGGGCGATTACGTTCAACGTCTCTGCTGTGGACTAGTGGTCGACACGCAACTTAAAACTTAGGGTTAATACCACTGGAAATACCATCCTTTAGCGAAAGTGTCATTTATATTACGTACTTTCAATAAACACAAAAATATTCCAACGTATTAGGGGTTTGTGTCATTTGTGTTATGCACATTTTTGTTGACCGTTAGAATTGACGGTTGACCTGACGGTGGTCAACTTATGTTTGACTATTGCTTATGTGGCGCTTAGGTGTCACCCGCATATGTGCCACGTAAGAAATTACTATTTAAAAATATTAATTTTATTTCAAAAATAAATAAATAAATATTATTAATTTATTTTAAAATAGTTTTTTTTCTAAATACTCTTTCTCTCGCCTCCCCGTCGTCATGCCCATCTGCTTCTTCTGTCGATCACCAACGTTGCTCTGACGACGGAGGCAGGGAGCTCGTCTTCTTCCTTCTCGATTAGCGGTCGTTTCTGATCTTCCACTTGCACAGGCAAGCCGGGATCTGGGCGACGCGAGAGAGCTCGTCTAAATCCCTCTTCTCCTCCACTTATATCTCCTTCTCCATCTCACCACCCAATCGCAATCAAACCGCCATTGTAATTTCCGCCGGCAAGATCCGAAGCGGGATGTCATTGAGATAAAAGATAGGGATTTGCACTTTGCAGCGGCTTAAAGGGGAAGGGACGCTGGAGATTTGCGAGGTGGTAGGGGGAAGGGACGTAACCTCCCTTCCTCCCAAGTCGACGACGACAACCACCAGAGAAGCTTCCCCACATTGAATTAACCCACCCCCTCCAATTAACCCACCCAGGCCAATACCACTCCTTCCACTCCTCATCCAGTTATCCACCCCCTATCTATCCTTCCTCCCTCCCTTAGTCGACGACGACAACTACCGGGAGAAACTCTCACCTCCAATTAAACCCTCCCATCGAATTAACCCACGAGTCCGACGAGTTTTCCCAGACCCAAACTGCCGGCCGCCATGTAATCCCCACCATTCTCGCAGATTAGAGCTCCGCCACATTACCTCCGTCTGGCAGAGGAGCGATTCAGATCCACGATGATCTCGTGGGGAAATAGCGCTCCGGCTGCAATCTTGACTTTCCCCTGAGCAGCATCTTCCACTTGTTGAATCGCTTCCCATCCACCACTTCTACCTCCGCGTTTGACTTGAACTCGACAATTGAAGGGCGTATTCGTCCATAGAGTAGAGGAATCGAACTCGGAAGGAAGTCTTGTTTATTATCATCGATTAGTAGAGGGTTGGTGAGTTCTGCGATCAATTGTGGGTTGTGGGTCACAAAAAATCCTCCCTCTCTCACTCCACCTTCGCCACTGCTCCGCTCCACCTTTGTCACCAATCGGCGGCTGGAGATTGACGTCGGTGGTCTGGAGAAGGGGAGAGAGGAATCGTGGGGAGGCGCTGATATTTATCCATTTTTGTACTTTTTTATTTTGTTTTGATTTTTTTTATTTTTTATTTATTAAAACTTTCCACGTCAGTTGCCATGTCATTATTGACTGTATTTTTCGTTAACCATTAACGGAAAACTTAACGGTTGGTATACAATTGTCATATCGAAAATTTCGTAATATAAATGGCACTTTCGCTAAAGGTTGGTATTTCTAGTGGTATTAGCCCTAAAACTTATGCAAACCTTCATATTTAAAGCCACAAAAAGAGAGTCCGTTACAGAACGGGGACAGAACCCAGGTAAATACAAAGCGTTGCCGACGCCCGGAAAACATAGCCAACCCAAGCTAACAAAAGCACCACCACTTGCCTTTCTATGAGTGGCGATGTGGGCTGGTCAACCCTAGGCTACATAGAAGAAACAACGGCTACATTGCATCCTCCACCGCTTTGATTATTTTTTTACATTGGGTCACCTTAAACAGCTAGCTACATGATACTAGTACAGTGTCAACACGTACGATGGCATCTAGGAAGTGCGAGTCTTGAACTTGGACTCGTCGATCTGGATCCCTTCCTCGGCAGCACGCTCCCCGCCGGACTTGTCCATGGTGCTGAGCCCACCTTTTCGGCCCATCTCCTGATAGCCTTCCGTCCCCATCTGGTCCCTCCTCGTCTCCCCTCCTTTGTGGCCCATCTCCTTGTACCCTTCCGTCCCCAGCTGCTCCCTCCTCGTCTGCCCGCCCCTGCTCCTCCCTAATTAAGTACACAAAACACAACACAACGACGTCGCTCTCAACCTTGACCACATGAATGAAACAGTGAACAAATTTTATTATTATATATATACCTTCAGCAAGATGCTCCTGAGCTTCAAGGCTCTTCCCGCCGGTTCCCCCAGGGACAACCGTCTCCCCCTGCCTAGCCCTCTCGTCCAGCTCCGCCCTCTTTTCCTGTCCCGACGCCATTTTCCGCTAAAACGCTGCGCAGCACTACTATATGTAATTGTAATCTTCTTCTCTTTTCAGTGATCACTCGATGCACAATGCAATGCAACGCAACGGGGTGTGTGGTCTTTATATAGAGAGAGAGAGAGAGAGACTTGCCTAGACTGAAGAGCGAGAAGAGGCGCGGGGGAGTTGGAAAAGGAGGAGACCCTGAGTTGACACGCAAGGTGGACACACGTTGCGAAAGCAGGATGGATGGTTGGAGCTGTTGCTGCCTTACACGTGGATCCGAAGCCTGACTCGATGAATGGTAAGCTCGCACGAGTCCTTCCTTCCACTCAGTGGTTAAAACTTTATTTCTCATTCTGACAAAATTATATTATTATTACTATTCTTGAATCTTCATCTTTCTTGCCCCTTTGCCTCATCGTTAAACCGCCATCCGTGCGGTGGCCCAGTCCAGGTTTGGGGCCTAATGGGCCAGCTAACTAGTCTTGCATAGTTGGACATTTGGTCCTAATGCATTGGGCTACTGCACTCTCTTTAGGCCCAACTGAGAAGGTTTATGGCCCATAACTATTATTTATTTATTTATGTTTTTAGTAGAAAAGGGTAAATCTAAATCCTAAGCCGTTCAGTTTGTATTCTCCAGGTCCAACGGAAGCGACAAAAAGTGAAAAAGTAATTCCCAGTGAACGCACGTGACGAGACGACACTCGATGTCCAAGTGTCAACTATCAAACAAAAGAATTACGAGAATGCCCTTTTCAACAAAGCCGATTCCCCCACAAACAAAATCGTCCAATCATTTTCTTTTCAGAAGCGGAGAGAAGAGAAGAGAAGCACTCCAATTTCTCTTTTCTCCTCTGGTCGCTGGCTGCTCCTTCTTCACCTACCCCTCCGATCCAAGTCACCATGGCCCGAGAACCCAACGACCAAACCCCCATCCCGCCGGCGAAGAAGGCGACGATTCCGGCCCATATGAAGGCCATGTCGGGTTCTCTGGGAGGAATCATGGAGGCTTGCTGTTTGCAGCCAATTGACGTCATCAAGACCCGGCTGCAGCTCGACCGGACGGGGGCTTACAGAGGAATCGTCCACTGCGGCTCCACGGTGTGCCAGACGGAAGGCGTGCGTGCTCTGTGGAAGGGTTTGACCCCCTTTGCCACTCACCTCACGCTGAAATACTCGCTACGGATGGGCACCAACGCCGTGCTTCAGTCTGCTTTCAAGGACTCCCAAACCGGCCAGCTCAGTAACCGCGGAAGGCTTCTCTCTGGCTTTGGCGCTGGGGTTCTGGAGGCTCTCGTTATCGTTACTCCCTTTGAGGTCAGACTGTTGTAGTCGCCCCTTCATTTGATCCAATACGTGATTTCAGATTCAGCTGAACCTGTGACGGCTTTTGATTTTCACCCTTTCCTTCATTCGGGGGATTTGAGGGGTTGATTTGGGTTTTGCAAATCTGGAAGGATTTTCATTTAGGGAGGACAGAATTTTCGCGTCCCAATTTGAAACTTATAAACTTCTCAAGGTTCTGGACGGCGTTAAGCTTCTTAACATCCTGTTACAGATGCCTCCTAGTAGTTCCTTTCATTTGGCGGGGTTGGTTTGGAAATGGCTGATAAGATGTGAGTTGTTGTAGAGCTAGAAAGTACCCGGTTAGTTCATCTGGAGTGAGAACTGAGAATGAGGAGGGAGGGGAAGCATTTTAGGCATCAGTTATCTTGGGTTTTGCAAATCCTAGTCATCTTTCCCTGCATATTAGCTTTAAAGCAGATGAGGTGGTTTCTTTCTTCTCCATCTCGTGCTTATTGGAATGCCTGAATGAGAAGAAAGATAATTGCTTTGATTCAGACCTTCAGTTTTCTCATTTTTTAATGCAAGACTATGGTGTTGTTGGAGTGTTGGCATAAGGTGGAATGTATTATGAACTTCCATATGGGTTCTGAAGGATATTCTGTAGAGTTAATCTGACATCTCAGTTTGGAACAGGTGGTGAAGATCAGGCTACAGCAGCAAAAAGGATTGAGTCCAGAGCTTCTAAAGTACAAGGGTCCGGTGCATTGCGCCCGCTTGATAATCCGCGAGGAAGGCATCCTTGGACTGTGGGCAGGTGCAGCGCCCACCGTAATGCGGAATGGCACAAACCAGGCTGCCATGTTTACTGCGAAGAATGCATTTGATGTGTTCCTGTGGAAGAAACACGAAGGGGATGGGAAAGTACTCCAGCCATGGCAGTCTATGATCTCAGGGTTTCTTGCAGGAACAGCTGGTCCCATTTGTACTGGGCCGTTTGATGTAGTCAAAACCCGACTTATGGCCCAGAGTCGAGAAGCTGGTCATGCCAAGTACAATGGGATGGTTCATGCTATCAAGACGATATATGCTGAAGAAGGGCTGCTTGCCTTGTGGAAGGGATTGATACCCAGACTGATGAGAATCCCACCTGGCCAGGCCATTATGTGGGCTGTGGCTGATCAGGTTATTGGTTTGTATGAGCGGAGATTTCTACCCAATGCACCTTTGTAGGTTTTGTAACTTTGTCGCAGGCTTAGAATGAATCAGAATTTTCTTTTTGTTTAACAGTGTCTTCTTTCTCCATGAGAAGGTTAGGAAACTGGTCAGCAGTTTTGGAATGCATCTTCATATTATTTTTGCATGAGAAGCATTTCATTCTTCACGTGTTTGTTGCATTTCGTACTCTGGCTTCCTTCTCCATGTTTAGAGGAGTTTGGATAATGGATCTGATGCGATGATTTGCACAATGATAATCTATCTCATGATTGGATTTGTATAGAATTCATTGTTGGGATGGCCAAATTGACGATTTCTGGTACTGCAGATTTTGAAATCTAACTAAGTTTCTGATGGTGTTGAAATAAGTTTCTGATGGTGTTGAAAATACATGCACTTGTTGAATCGATCATGCCGACTCTGGCTCTATTGGTGTGCCAATCTATGGGGTTATTGGTCTCGATGGATGTGTGGATTCCCATTATGAATTCTAAATGAGAACGGAAAGAAGATTTGTGTAACAACAGAATTTAGTGTTACCGTTGGTTAGAGAGAGAAAAAGCTCTAACCTCTCTCTTCCACTGGCGCGATGACCGTTGGCGATCAGCTATCGGAGATGGAATCCGATCACTGTCTAAAGCCGCCTAACGACTCCCCGGCAGTTTCGCTGATCCAACCGAGTAAAAAAGCCAAAGCATGGAGCAGTGAAGATTTCTCCGGACAAGGGGAGATGGATTTTGCAGCAGTGGTGACGGCGACGACCCAAACTGCCAATTTGGGCGAAGGGAAGGAAGATTGCAGGGAGAAAGACAATCAGGACCCAATGGGGGAAGGAGAGAGTGCCCAAAGATGTTCCTACAGAGATTCAGTGCTGGGAAACCAGCCGCAGGACGAGGATTTGGAAGGGGACGAGCTGATGTCCGACGAGTCGGAAAAGGAGGACGGAGAAGACGACCCTGATTGCCCAACAATTCGGATCAAGAAGCGTACTAATTCGAGGATCCAGAGGAGATGGAACAGGCCAATCACTTTCAGAGTCCTAGGTAACAATTTCCCCTTTGCTTACACTCAGAGAAGAGTACAGAAAATGTGGGCAAAAACTGGACAGGTGAAAGTTGGGGATATCGGAAATGGCTACTGTCAAGCCATCTTTGATACACAGCTAGACCACGATCGAGTACTCTACGGTGGGCCGTGGACCATCGACGATCACTATATTGTGTCGGAGCCATGGAGGCTGGATTTTGATCCAGATTTCGATTCCATTGATAAGACCTCGGTCTGGATCAGACTGCCCCGCCTTCCTTTGGCTTACTTCGAATGCCTTCCTTCTGCCACAACAGCAAAACAGAATCCAGAATGCATCGCCAAAAGAAGCAGGGGACTCCCTAAAGAAGGATAATAAAGGCTCCAGATTCAATGTCTTGAGTGAACAAATGGAAGGGGAAAATGTGGAGGAAGAGGAAGATGGAGATGAGAATACCAAGGAAGAAGTTGAGCCAAGTCAGTCCAAGGAACAAATCAAGCGGACAGAAGGGGCATTGAAGATTGACCCTACTGGCTCGAAGGAGGTAAGCCGTAACGAGAAGAAAGGGAAAAAACAAGGAGAATCAAGGAACAGGGAAAGTACAAGAGAAAACCAATGAACAGAAACTACAAGAAAGGAAGGAAAACCAGAAAATCTCACCAGAAACCACCAAGCAGAAAGCAAAAACAGTGGAGATAATCAAGAAGAGCATGCCTGCAACCTCAAACATGAAAAAGGAAGGACAGCACCAGATGGGAGGAGAAAAAGCACCTGCTACTACAAAGACAACACCAGGAAAGAAGAGTAAGGAAACATCCTCAAACTCCAAGAGTAGTAGACAAGCAAGTGACAAAAAACTCCTGGAGGATGCTAAATCAGGCCACCAACCCAAAATGAAGGATCCTTCGCCAGGAAAGGGACTTAAGGAAACTGCCAAGAGAATGGAGATTGCCCCTGAAAGTGGGAGTGGAATTCCCAGGAAGATTGTCTATAGCAACAACCTGGAGAATAATGCAAAAGCACCTGAAAATGTACAACCTTTCACTGCAGTAGAACAAAACAGCTCTGTTAAAGAGGAGGGAACGGCTATGGCCGTGGAAAATTGAAGATCTTTGATTGATAGTCATCCAGGGAAGTTTTCTTTTATCCACTCTAATGGTTAAAGTCTTCTCTTGGAATTGCAGGGGTGCAAAGCACCCCAAATTTCTGCCTACTTTTAAGTTGTATAAAGATAATCACAAATCTGATATTGTCTGCATTTTAGAATCTAGAATTAGTGGAGAAGAAGCCATTAGTGTGATCAAATCACTTGGATTTGATTCATGGAAGGTTTCGGATGCTACTGGTTTTAGTGGGGGGATCTGGATCCTCTGGAATGAGAGTAACTTGGAACTTGAACTTCTTGATAAACACAAGCAATTGATTCACATGAAATGTTTCACTGATGGAAAGCCTAGTTTTTGTATTACTGCTGTGTATGCCAGCCCTAATGATCATGATAGAGTTGAACTATGGGATAGGCTTAGGATCATTGAGAGTAGTTCTAACCTTCCTTGGCTCCTTGCAGGAGATTTTAACTCTATTTCTTGATCATGGGAGAAACAAGGAAGTGTTGCCTTCAACTTTGCAAAGACTAGAGCATTCAACAACTGCATTGAGGATTGCAACCTGTTGAATCTTGGCTACACTGGACCACATTTTACCTGGTTCACTAAAGCCTCTAGGTTGAAGGAAAGACTGGATAGGAGTCTATGCAACACTGAATGGCAACAGAAATTTCCCAAAACAACAGTGTTCCATCTCCCCAAGATTAAATCGGATCACAGACCTATCCTCACCAACACTATGGATGAAAAAAGAAAACAGAACCAGGTGAGAAGGTTTCAGTTTCTGGCTTCTTGGCTTGCCCATGAGAATTTTTTCCCTTTCCTCTCTTCCTCCTGGACTGCTGGCTGTGATTTTCCTGACTCTTTGCAGAAGTTCAAGGAAGAATTGATGACATGGAATAAAGAAGTGTATGGGAACATTTTCAAGAGAAAGTAACAGCTCCTCTGTGAGCTCAATTCTCTGGAAATGTTGAATGGAAAAAGGCCTACCACTAGTTCACTGGAGAAGGAGCAAAACACAAGAGAGGAACTGGAAAAAACCCTCTGGCAGGAAGAACTGCTTTGGATCCAGAAGTCCAGAACCAACTGGGTGGTTAGAGGTGACATGAACACACGTTACTTCCACAACAGTACAATCAGCAGAAGGAAAAGGAACATGATCAGTTACCTGAAGGATGATCAAGGAAAATGGATTGATGATGAAACTGAGCTCCATAAGTTGGCCAGGGAGTATTTTCTCAACCTTTTCACTTCGAATCTAGCTAGGGATATCCATGGTGTGCCTGCTGATTTCCCTAAGATTTGTGATGAATTGCTTAGAAGATTAGGTGATAAACCTAATAAGGAGGACTGTTAAGGCTGTGATCATGGACATGAGTGGACTCAAAGCACCTGGGAAAGATGGCTTTCAAACCATCTTCTTTCAGAAATGCTGGAGTTCTATTGGAAATGATTTCTTCTTATTCATCCTGTCTTGCTTTCTTAACCCATCTAGAATTCAATATATGAATGAAACCCTTCTTGCCCTGATTCCAAAAGTTGAAAGCCCCTCTAATATGAGTCAGTTTAGACCTATCAGTCTGTGCAATGTTAGTTATAAGGTTGTGGCTAAGATCCTTGCAAACAAACTGAAACCCCTTATGTCTATCCTTGTCCAGAAAAACCAGTCTAGCTTCATCCCAAACAGACACATTACTGACAATATCATCATCCTACAGGAAACAGTGCATTCCATGGCTAGGAGGACTGGAAAGAAGGGTCTCATGCTTCTGAAGATCGACCTGGCCAAAGCATATGACAGGCTGGAATGGGATTTTTTGGAAGATACCCTTAAAGTTGCTAGACTCCCTAACATTTTCATCTCCATGATCATGAAATGTGTTTCATCTACCAGCTTCCAGGTTATGTGGAATGTGAGTGAGACTGAGAGCTTTAAACCCTCACGTGGTTTAAGACAGGGATGTCCCCTCTCCCCTTCCCTGTTTACACTTTGTATGGAGAGACTTAGTCATTGTATTCAGAAAGAGGTGATGAAAGGGAATTGGAAACCCTGTAGACTTTATCCAGGGGGGCTAGCCCTCTCACACCTCTTTTTTGCTGATGATCTTGTTCTGTTTGCTGAGGCAAGCCCTCATCATGATGATATCATTCTAGATTCCCTGAACCGCATCTGCACTGCATCAGGGGAGATGGTCAGTAAGGAAAAGTCGAGAGTGTTCTTTTCTAAAAATGTTAAGAACCAGAATAGGAAGGAGATCTGTAGTAGACTTGGAATCCAAGCTACTACTGATCTTGGGAGATATCTTGGAGTTCCAGTTTTACATGGTCGACTTACTATTAGCACTTACAAGTACATTATAGATAGGATTGACCAAAAATTGTCTAACTGGAAAGCTAAGAACTTGTCCCTTGCTGGCAGGGTCACCCTTGCCATGTCTGTGCTTAACTCTTTGCCTACCTATGCAATGCAAACCACTCCCCTTCCCCAGTCAGTGTGTGAAACCATTGACAGAAAAGAGTGAGGTTTTGTGTGGGGTTCTGTTGATGGCAAAAAGAAACCCCACTTGGTCTCCTGGGAGAATATCTGTAAACCTAAAGACCAAGGAGGTTTGGGGTTAAAATCAGCCCGCAACATGAACATGGCTTTCATGATTAAGTTGGGATGGCAAATGTTGAATAATGAGTCTGATTTGTGGGTTCAAGTGTTGCAGGGGAAGTACTTCGTCAAACAAAAAAATGGGGAGATCCAAGGAATGAAAAAGAGTAATCACTCAAATCTTTGGAAAGTTGTCCTTCACGGAATGAGATTGATGAAGGAAGCAACGTGCTGGAGCATCAGGGACGGCAAATCAACAAGCTTCTGGAACAACCTTGGCTGGAAAATGGTGTCCTCGTGGAGGATTTCTGCCTTACTGATCTTACAGAGGAAGATAGAAACTCCACAGTGGCTGAATGGACAACGCAGAAAGGTGAGTGGGACTGGGACAGGCTCAAACAAGTCCTCCCTAATGATGTTTTGGCCTCTATTGCAGGAATGGAAGCTCCCAAACCTGATCTTGGCGAGGATAAAACTATCTGGAGACTGGAAAAAGATGGACGCTTCAGACTGAAGTCTGCCTACAGACTTGCTGCTGATGAGCTGGAGGCTGCTCCAAACGGAAAATGGAAAAAACTTTGGCAATGGAGGGGCCCGAATCGAATTAAGCACTTCCTCTGGTTAGTCCTGCACGATCGAATCTTCACCAACAAAGAAAGGGTCGGGAGGAAAATTACTCAGGACAGCTCATGCTAGCATTGCAAGGAGCATGAGGAAACTACTGAACATATTATCCGCAGTTGCAAGAAAGCTAGGAGCATTTGGGAAAAAATGCATAACAAAGTTGCTGAGAAGAATTGCAGGTTACCCTTTCATGAATGGCTTCTTGTCAATTTACAACAGGAGGAAACAGGATTGGATTTTGGTATTGTC